AGAACTAGGATTAAAGAAAACGGAAAACAAGTTATAAAGAAAGGGTAAAAAAAAAAAGGAAAAAAAGAAAGAAAGGAATGGGGGAAAAGAAGTAGAAAAAATTAAAAAAATATGTCAATACCTGAATATCGTTTACAGATATATATTCTGTGGACTGTTTTTCATTTCATTTCATCTCATTCTCATTCATTCATTTTTTTTTTCCTTCCAAATCGTCAAAACCTTCACTTTGGGTTACCTTTGTATTATGAACAGCTGGCGGCCTCAAAACCCATATAAGGTCACAATGTCCTAATATGGTAAAATCATACCCAGTTCCCCAGATTGTTTTTTGTAAATAAATATCCGGCAAATGAGAAAAAAACTCAAGAAAAAACCTCGAAAAATGATGATTTTTTTAACTCCAAAAAACCCCTAAAACGCAAAAATAACCTTCAAATTTGTAAACATATAATCTATTGGTATAGATTTAGGTTTCTTTATCGCTAAAGCTGTTTTATGATGGAGGAATATGAGTCTTTTTCTCATCTTTCTCTGTTGATCAGTGGCTTGGGGAAAATGGTGGTGGATCTTGATTCAATCAAAAGCGCTATAAGTGAGATTGATGGTCGTTTAGACGAAAATGCTGCAAGGTGGGTACAATTTATAACAATTTTTACGTTTTACGACGTCGATAGTGCTATTAGTTGAATTAGTTTTACAAAAACAAGACTCAGAGTTATTTTCGATCCAAAATTTGCTTTAATTTTTTCAAATTATTTTTCCTTCGTCATATTGTTTTTCGTTCTTTTTGTGTTTCTTAACCTGGTTGTGTTCTTATTCGCCATTTTCCATACTTTGGTTCACTGGTCAAACACAAAGTGCTCAAGTGAGTTGCCAAGGTACTTTCAAAGGATTATTCAAATTTGAACCTTGCAACCTCGACTGAATGCTTTGTGTTTGACCAGTGAACCAATGTATGGAAAATGGTGCATTAATATTATATTCTACTTTGTCTTTTACTACCTCATATTCATGCGAGTTAGGGTAGAGGAAAGGTATGTTATGAAGACCCTGGCCAAGAGCTTTCTTCCTACCCTCTCACTTCCCTTCCCCACCCCTTCTTCATTAATGATTTTATAATACACTCAATAAAATTACTCGATTCTGATTGGACAAGAGGAGTAATTAAATTTAGATCCCAAATTGTACGTTGTAGAGTCCCAATTAAATACCTTGATTTTTTTTGAATGTAAAATAAACAAAAAATTGCATAATGTTCTCGTACAATTCGGAATTTATAGTTACGACTGATGTTTTAAAGTTCTCAAATTGGACTTGTCATCACTCATACCTATAACTTTGGAATTGTACTCAAGATTGTGCAATTAATTTTCCTAATATGCTAATCGTTCCCAATTAGTGCAAAAGCGCTAGAACGACTAGACACTAAATAAAGAGATTTTATTCATTTTTATGGTGCTGCTCGTCACAACAAGTTTTTATTTATTTTCAGTCTTCAGAAAGAATTGAGTAATCTAACGTCCATGTGTAATGAATCTCTGAACCCAGACCAGGATTTAACAAATCTGCGCAGCTCCAAGGAAGCCATTTCACTGCTAACCGGCCCTGAATTCAATAATCACGTCTGTGACTCTGAACCAATGGTGTTGAACTGCTTCTTGAATAATGTGGTGAGTTGACTTGATTGACAGCTAATGGATAATAGTGTTGTGGACCTTGTTCAAGGTTATCTTGATTGCAAGGCTATTGGCACAATATAGAGAAATTAAAGGCAAAATGACTAGAGAGATTAGTGTGAGGTGCTAATGCACTGGCCACCTTTCAGCAGTGCACCTTAGTGGCATCTCATCTCTGGGGTCTCAGGTTTGATTGTTAAACTCGGCATCACATGTGAGTATATTGACGACTCTTAAAACTACAGTGTATATGTGGTATATACTGGAGTTTTAAGAGACTTCAATAGTTGCTTGTTGGTTCTTTCCTGTGCTTTGAGGGTTTCTCTCCAGTTCTCTGGCTTTCATTCTTCTGGAAAATTGAGAACCCCAAAGAAAAACCCTTGCATCCCAGGAGAGAACCAACAGCAGCTCTGCTTAAGGTGGCTGCCTACTTTTGAACGTTTGATTTGAGCCCACGATGCGCGCGCGCTCAGAAACCGCTGAAAAATCTACAAGATTTTATTGAAGAACCATACGCGTTTTGAGCTTCAACAGGGCAAAACCCTCAAATTTGCATGGGACTCTATATTTTTTGATAGATCATTCGAAAAAACTCCTAAAAATCTAGGTCATATCAACATTTTAGGAAAAGTTTAAATCAGGAACACGTGAAAAAATAGATTTTTGTAGGGATTTTTGTTCGACTTTATGAGATTTTTTAAGAGCACTGAAACTACAAAATATGACAAATCAATGTATCTCTCTGTCTTTTTGTCGAAAATATCCATGTATTTTTGTAGAAGGATTGACTAGCCTTTGTTCGTGCAATCATATAGTCTGCAAATAACTATTATCTTATTAATCTTAATTTTTTTCTAATCACTTCTGGTGGCGCAATTTTTACTCCAAAAGCTTGTGCGTAGGCTTCCATCATATGCTGATTATCTCGAAAACGAGCTCGGGACACCCTATTTTTCTTACAAGATTTAGAATCAGCATTAAATTTCAATTCAGAAAATCGAAGTTTTAAAAAAAGCTTAAATCAATTTCCAAAAGTAGGCAGTCACTTTAAAAATACAATATGTCAGTGGTGAGTCTATAATCTACAGCAGTGAGAGGCATGGCAACCCCAGGGCTTGAAATAGAAACTTTTTTTAGCCTGCCATGGTAAAGGAGCATGGTAAAAGGAGGTCATTCCAGTGAATTTTGCATGCTATTTTATTATTTATTTGGCAGTGCATTCTTATTTTCGCCTGCCAAACTTGAAATTTGGTCTGTCATTTGGCCATTGGCAGGCTATTTCGAGCCCTGAACCCTGCTTCCAGAATATACTGTTTTCATTTTAACTTCTAGATTCAGGCTCTTGAAAGAAACCCAGGTCTTGAGGAAGCAATTTTACATGAATTGGTTAAGTTTGCCTCTGAACAAGGAATGATCCTTCCATTTGCACTGATGCCAAGTGAAAAACTTCACAACCAGGGTAGCGATGTTAATCCAGATGAATTGGAGACAAAAATTTTGTGGGAAAAAATCCGAAATAAGTTTAATGCTGGCCTCTGGAAAATCATGGGTAGCTTAAAGCTTCAACAAGATGAAAATCTTAGCTTATTAAATGAAAAAAGAAGACAAGAACTGATCCAGAGGCTGTTATTCTTGTCTCCTCTGGACTTTGTCTGGGAGAACTATCTTCTTTTTCGTCGACGAATGGTCGAGAACTACTCTATTAATCCAGATCTCATCTCAGGGATTGAGACCAGCCTTGTCATGCAGTACAAAGATGCCCCTGCTAATGCTATAGCCCTTGCAAAGCTTAGCCGAGCCATTGAGATGATGATTACTCAAGACATGAAGATTTTAGAAGGGAATGAACTTCGCTCCAAGGAAATGACATTCAAAGTGATTTATGAGATTTATTTAGAGAAGTATATGCTAGAGCTGAGGTCAGTCTTACAGTTGTATCGTGAAGAGAAGAAAAGCATTGCTGAGAGACGAGGTTCAAGTAGAAGCACCTCCAGCATGAGTATCCATGGCGATGACTTGATTGTTTACAAACTCTGTTTCCTAGCAACTGTTAGTCTGGAGATGATGGTGATCAAAGTATTGGAGAAAAATTGCAAAGGTGACTGATTTTTAATTATCCAGTGCTATTATCCAGTACTATAGAACATAGTATTTTATCCTCACTGCATACTCATTACTAAGCCACGGAAATTAAGATATGGAAGGTGACCGCGACTGCTGGCAATGAGCATGCAAAAAGCATGAGATGCGTCGTCAACCACCACCAGGGGAGGTGGGTGGGGTAAATATTCTACTCTCTCCTTAGGCAGCTTCCGACGGAATGATTCAAGGATCTGGGTGTGGAGCTCACATATGGAGGGGTCACAAAGCATTACACCGCATTGCGCAAGCTCCAATGTCCATATATGGGGGGCTGCTAAATTCCTACCTGACACACTAATTATGTATGCAGTAAGAATTATAGAAGCTATAAAGACTGAAAGTTTAATATTCTGAGAAATGGATTAATTATTATTAATTATTATGTATTTATTAGTTTGAGATACATTGTCGATATGACACATGTTTTACACGGTGTGACTTGCCTAACTGTGGCCACTCAACTTATTTTTTACTAGTTAATCAATCAGACAGTGAGAATTTGTGCATCACTCAGCATGACCGCAAATATTTAAAATAATTTTGTACTCTTTGTAGCAAAAACCTAAATAAATAGCTTTAGTATAAATACACAGGTGATTATTGAAAATCTCGCGCTCTGATTGGTCGAGAAACTCAGATTATCACACGATAATCACGCTTTGTTGCTGTTACCGGAAAAAAATATGTCTTTTATCTTCTTTTTTTTTGAAAGAATCACCTGTGTATTTATACTAAAACAATTATTTGCCTCAGGCCCAGTAAATATCAGGAATGATAACCTTAACTTCGTTTCAGTTATTATTCCTCAATATTCACTTCGCCTTCGGCGAATAATTGTTAAATATAAATAAATATAAAAATTATATAAAAACGTCCTATGTATAATCATAAAATTGAAAAGAAAAAAAAAAAGAAAAAAAAAACACCTTAGCTTGAGAAGCATCCTGGTGACGTATCAAATTAAATAAACAAATTTGCATTTTTTATTTCCATAGGAATCACACCTAATGTGCTCAAGCCAGTTGTTTCTAACGTGACTGGAAGTGGAAAGACCCAGTTGCCCAAACTTACCCACAAATCCAGCAAAGATCTTCCAGTACTTGAAGCATGGCCCAACCCAATGCCTGCTCCATTTGGTAAGAAATTTAACAAATCGCTCATAGATTTCCATTCAAGACTGTCCTCTTATTGATCATAGATGATGTCTTAAAAAAATGTTCAAACTTAGCACTCAGACTCAATGCTTTTAACTATGTACCCAAAAAAAAAAAAAAAAAATTTAACAATTACTCGGCGAAGGCGAAATGATTATCGGGGAATATTTACCGAGATGCGAGTCTTCGAGCGGCGAGGTAAATATTCCCCGATAATCACTGAGACTGAGGCAACTAATTGTTTTAGTATAAATACACAGGTGATTCTTTCAAAAAAAGATTCTATTCTATCCTATCCTATCCTATCCTATCCTATCCTATCCTATCCTATCCTATCCTATCCTTTTCCATTCTTTTCCATTCTTTTCCATTATACTTTCTTTTAGTTCTATTTTATTATGTTCAATACCACTCCACTTCTTTAAAACAACTTTACTTTTTTTCTTTCACAACAAATATTTACCCCCCCCCCCCCCCCCNCTATCCTATCCTATCCTATCCTATTCAAACCTATTCAAAACTTGAGTGGGGACACGAGTACAGTGAGTGGTTTCACTGTAAAGTTTTGAGCATTTTAAGATCGATGATCAATAAGAGGACAGTCAATGAAAATTTATGAATGATTTGTAAAAGAAAAAGAAAAAGATCTAAAAACAAGGAAATAGTTTAAAATGGTTTCAAGCTTGAACTACACATCGATGAGAACCTAGCCTGTGAACTAGTTGCCAAAATGAGAACCAGATGAGACAGAACTGTAGCATTTCAAGCAGCTATGCTCGAGTCAAGTTTCATGAGAACTGCTGCTTGTAATACAATAATAATAACGGGGTTCTTATATAGCGCATTTTACATGGTCTCAATGCGCTTCACAATCATGATCAGTTGAGGACTTTACGGGCTGCGTATTTAGGCGCTAGTAGCAGCTGTGCAGCTGTGCAGCTACAATCGTGAGTGACTTGTTAGTAAGTTAGTATTAATGCCTCCAGATTGGGATAGGCTGTTGAACCAGTAGACAATCCCCTACTCTTATACGAATAATTCAACAGGTTCTTTTATGTCCCTCATTTACTGTAGGTTAGGAAGGGTTGGGAGACAGGGCCTACGGTTTAAAGTCCTTGTCCGAGAAGACTTGAAGGTCTAACCATTTGCAGATATTATTATAAAGGCAGCACCTTCTCCTCAGTTATTTTAAGACCCTGAGTGTTGGTCCGGCCGAGGCTTGAACCACGACCTCCCGCACAACAGACCGACGCTCTTACCAACTGAGCTAACCAGGTCAATCATGTACAATCATGTCAATGTTCATTCTTTAGGTGTAGGTAAAAGTGACTTCCCAGCACCACCCAGCTCTTCCCATCATGCTTCATCAGTGTGGGCCTGGCGAGATGAATTCAAGCATGTCATTTCAAGGATATCCTCAGCTGTCACTGAGACCATCAAGTTGGGCTGTGACTCATCCCTGGAGGAAGAGAATAAGATTTACGCCACCACTAATGGGTTACAGGTTATACATCTTAAAGGTATGTCTGATTATCGCCTGACTCACTGTACATAACATGGAATCAATTTAGATATTGTTCTATAGACCCCTTGCAGCATGTCCCAACGCAGCTTAATTTGGAGGACATAACAATAGATTTCCAATTCTCATGAGATTGAAATTCTTTTGTTTTGTTTTCCGAATTGAGCTGCTTTGACGTCACATGCAAGGGGTCTATTAGTTTGCTATTTATCCATCCATGTGTCTGTCCGTCCGTCCATCCTTTATTCATCCAACCGTTCATCCATCCATCTATCCCTCCATTGATCAATCGGCCTACCATTCTCCATTGGTCCACGCACCCACCCACCCATCTATGCCAGTCCACCCATCTATCCACCTATTATCTATCCACCCATCCATCCATCTCTCTTATCTTCCATCCTCATTTTCTTCCCTAACTCATGCACCTGATATACTTTGTTTCACCTTAGATGAGCTTGTAGGAGGACAAGAGGATTACCCTAAATGCATTGCAAAGGTTAGCTGATATCAGCCATGTTTTGTTCAGAATATAGACCCCTCGCAGCACGTCTGAATGCAGCTAATTTGGAGGACATAACAATAGGTTTCTAATTTTTAGGAGATTCACATTCTTTTGTTTTGACCTCCAAATTGAGCTTCTTTGATGTCACATGCAAGTAGTCTATTATATTGAGAAAAAGTGAGTTTTTTTCTTAAAAGAGGCTTTGTTCCTTTGTATTGTATGCTCTGATAATTGATTGTCTGACTTATTATACATCTTTATTTTATTTATGCATAATTTGTTTTTGGATTTAACAGAGCTGTTCAATTATAATGTCCAGAGCGGACGATGTATTACCACTAGCTAGTTTTGATGGAGGCAAGCTTTTCCAGGTCGTTAGGTCCTCATTTGTAGACACTTTGGATTCTTGTCTCAAGACTTATTTTTCAAGCGTAGTCAAGGTAACAGTGTCGGAAACACTTCCAGTCTAAACCAATCAAAAGCTGAGAATTTCTTCGCCTTTGCTATTTTCAGAACACCTCTCATTCCCTTGAGTATCATTTGTTTATTTATCGATAGGATTTGACCATATACATGAAAAATTAAACCCCCCAAAAATGGAGTAATTTAATGCTTCCTCACCTTGTCTACCTATTTCAGACCATGTGTCATTCCCTAGAGTATAATTTCTTTGTTTAATGGTTGTGCACTATGAGAAGACAAATGAATATGGATACAATTCAAACAAATTATCTTATTCACAAGAGATTGACACGTGGTTTCACATGATGCTTTCCCATTTCAGACCACGCGTCATTTCCTTGAGTATCATTTCTTTGTTTGTCACGGTTGTGCTTGAGAAGACACGAGAATGTGGATACAACCAAAACAAATAATCCTATTCTCAAGAGATTGACACGTGAGGTTTTCCCATTTCAGACCACGTGTCATTCCCTTGAGTATAACAAAATACCCCAAACGGGAATAAGTTCATAAATGATAGCTAAAATATATTCTTTCAATTTTTCCAGATTATCGCGGATTTCCCTAAGAAATGCAACATACAGGCCTTATATGTTTTGCTTAGCAGTTCTGTGTTCGTTAGGAATCGTTTGGCCCACTATGAAGAGGTGATTGGAACAGAGCCAAGGTATAATGATTGTGATTGGTCAATTAGGTTTGCCTTATTGGGATTGGTTAGTCAGGTGTGCTTGATTGTGATTGGTCAATTAGGTTTTCTTTATTGGGATTGGTTAGTCAGGTGTGCTTGATTGTGATTGGTTAATCAGGTTTGCTTGATTGTGATTGGCTAATCAGGTTTGCGTGACAGTCAATACACAACTGACCATCAAACTATAGACCCTCTTGCTTAGCAGGCAGTAGACTAACCAACCAAGCCACCGACTTGCTTAATCATGATTATTTATTATTATTGTTGTTGGTGTTTTTGTTATTGTTCACCAGGCGTCCATTTGCTGTTCTTCACCGTCAGTACAGTGAGCTGGCCGAGAGTCTTACCAACCAGATTATGAACTATCACAAGCATATCATTGCTACTGTTATTCTTCAAGACACTGAGAGCCATAATTGGGAGGACCAAAGGCCGTTCTATGAGGTACGCCACATACACTTTTATCGATGTTTAGGGTTATGAAACATAGTTTCACCATCAATCTTTAGGAATGACCATATATAATAAACATAATTAGGAGGACCAAAGATCGTTCTTGTGGTACGCCACATGCACTTAGCTTTTATCGATGTTTAGGGTTATGAAACATAGTTTCACCATCAATCTTTAGGAATGACCATATAATAAACACAATTAGGAGGACCAATGATCGTTCTTGAGGTACGCCATATGCACTTAGCTTGATGTTTTGGGTTGTAAGAAGCATATTTGGTCCATTAATCAGTAGGAATCAACCGATATTATAATGAACATAATTGAAAGGCCAAAGACCGTTCCTTGAGGTACTCATGCTTTGATTGGTACCTAGCGTTAACGCAATATAGCTGGTCCACAACGAAGAGAGGGTAGCCACAACAGAATATCTTTTTCAAGGAAAGACTAAAGTATTCACCGAATCCGCGAAATATGGCGACCAATTGAAGTAACTATTATGTATGGACTGACCAGCCTTGTGTTCACGTGGAAACATTAAAGCGTTTTCACATGTATGAGAGGCTAGTCACTCCCGGAACAATAGTTATTCTAATTGGCCGCCATATTTCGATTCACTGCTAAACTCTGCTTCGAACACTCTTTTTTTCTTTCTCTTCAAGGACGAACGGTGCTCTTTCTCTGTCCAGATGTGGAATCTCTACATCCAGGGATTGCTTCACGACATGTGGAAATATTGCCCACCCATTAAAGCTCAGTCCATACTCACCAACATATTGCACAACTCTCTGTCGACCTTCACTCTACGCTACAGTAATGCTCTACCATCGTATAACAGAGTCAAGCAGTTTCGATCTGATATTACTGCTATTCTGCTGTGCACCGTTTCATTTCTGTGGCCGTGCTGTAGTTCTTTATCAGTGTTGTTCGATTCCAGTCGTGAGGAGACGATAATTTCCAGTATCCATAACCTGTGTTCCTGTCTTATCGCAACTATGGTAAGACTGACACAGTTTCTGCCTGTGTGTCTGTATTTTTTTTGTCTATCTCTGCCGCGTTTTATAAATATGTATGCTTACAATACTTTATTGCTGCTGTTGTTGTTGCAGTTGTTGTTGCTGCTGTTGTTGTTGTTGCTGTTGTTGTTG